AGTGAGGCTGACCAGTCTATAGTTACCCATTTGTGACAGCAGTGTCAAATTTGTGTACAGAAATGAAAGAAGAAATGTAAAATAACTGAAGTACATTGAAAATAAAGAAATTACTGCATTACACTATATTCTATTCAGTTCAGAGACCAAAACATACAATATGGGTGTCAGATTATATGGTGAAAGGTTAGAAACATACTGAGATATAGTTATCAGACAAGGATTAATTTATTCATTCACCTTAAATTCTAGTTCTGCTCATTCTAGTAGGATTTTACTGAAGAGGAGGACACTGTTTCCTCCAAAGTGTTTTGGATTGTTGTTCTGCAGGTATAGTCAAGTCCAGAAAATGTGGCAAAAAGCACATCTCTGGAATGCAGGTCTCACCCTATAGTTACATGACTATAAACTAGTTTATGTCCCTTTTTACGTGCTAGAGGCTTCCTCCTACTTTGCTAATGGCTTTGGCTTAGGTGAGGCTAACATTGGTATTATAGTATTTACTTCAGGTAGGGGTAAAGAGGCACATAATGATGTAGTATTTCGGGTAGAATGCAATGCCCTCTCCCCCCCCCCCCACAGAAGAAAACCCCCCCCCCCCCCCCCCAGAAGAAGAAAAAAACCACAACCAGCAAAACAACCAGCAAACTTAAACCATTTGCTTCCAGTTCGGCCTTTATAGGACACATCTTTCCAAGTATGATCTTTCTTGGTTTTGTGACATTATCATCAGCCTAGATTTTCAAAAGGCAGTTGCCTGCAATAGATAGATAGATATCTCTAGGAACCAAACTGACATAATAGGAACTAGACACTTTTAAAAAATCCTTTGGAGTGCCCACCCATGTCTTTCAAAATCTAAATACTTTTTCAAATTTGGTTCATGATCCCTAAATTCATTTGAGGAAATGCCTGTGTGGTCATTCTCACCCTTGCATGTGTTCGTTTTTGAAGTCAGAGGGGCAGGAAGCCACTTCTGTGTATCTCCCAGCATCTCTGGCCTTTGCATGTCACTAAGGTGTTTCCATCTGACCACGGTTCTCTTCAGCCTCACTGTAAGGTTTTCTTACCATTTGCTCTCTGACTAATCAGCTCTAACCTAATTTCTGATCAAGAGAATGTCTGGTTTTGTTTTAAGGAGAACAATCAAGGATTCAAGAGAGGGCTGCTTTCCCTTTACTTCCACTTTTGGAGAGAACTTCCATCAGAAAGGAACATTAAGGAAAGAGAAAAGTGCTTACCATCTCCTTCAATCACACGGTTGCAATGGAAACAAACATCACCGAATAGCTGAAGAAGAAAAAGAAGTAATGATTTTTTTTTAACGTAATTATTTTATTGAGGGTAGCTTCTCAAACTAACAAAGTAACTATATTTCAGCCAAAGGGCACAATAGCTTTCCTGTTTATTTCAGTAAAATAAAGAGAATGCTGGCAAGTCTGGTTTGGTTTTCCAAATACGTTTTGCATCATCTCATCACAAAAAGTCTTGACAATATTAAAGATTAAAACATTTGTTTACACCTGTTTGATCCTTTGTAAATATGATTTTGTTTTGCTTTAACATTTTTCTCACCCTGAACATTTGAAGTACAGCAGTCGGTATCACATACACATTGTTACTATTGGCCAGTTTAACATTTGGATTTAGGTGCATGACTAGAACAACATATTGCTGTTTCTGGCAAAAACCTGTAAGGAAATGTTATTTTTATTAAGGAAAAAAAAAATAGGCCAAAAATTAATCATTCTATTTCCAGGTGTAACATTTGTCCACAATATAACCATTAAGAAGTGCTTAAAAAATTAATGTATCCTTTCTAACTGTAGCAGTTAACCTAGTGAAAGACATGCATTACATACAGCTCCTGTCTGTTATATGTACTTGCCCCATCATGGCTGCAACACTATTACTATTACTATGCCAGCAACATTTCAGTCATCTGCCCCTCATCACTGACAAATTAGGAATCCATCTGTAATTAGCAGATTCCTTACAACTCCCAAATGTAACCCCTCCTCCTGTATTTATACAAGCGAAGAGGTGGATGTGACACAACGCAGATGGCTTCCAAATAAAAATTCTATATATCATGGTGCAGGACTACACAATTAAGGGAGTCCGGGGAGATGGTATATAACTCCTATATAAATGCAAGTGGTCACTAGGTGGTGTCCTCTGTCAAATTTAGTCTTCACAGTCTTCAGCAACCTAATGAATGAGCTGGGTGTTGCAGTGTATGTTAACACACAGTCATCTTAGAGTAGCAGCTGTAGGGAAAACCATGCTACTCAATAGGGCCTCAAACCACAGCTACCGAGTGGCAAATCTTCTTTAGCTTCTTGGAAAAGACTGGGTGTCATTAGTTGCCCTGATCTCACAGACATGTAAAACCTCCTAACAGCTCTACTTAAGCACCACTAAGCTTGAAGAACAACTTGATTGTCCTGGCTAGCCTTTGTGAAATACCTGCAGTTTTCTTTCTCAGTACCAGACTGATGTACAGAGAAACCCGTATAAATTAACTGCAACAAAACTTCTGCTAATTGGCATTACACCCCCAGGTGCCTATAAGAAAACAGAAGAATGTTCACGGTTTTCCTTCTCTGATAAAACCAATTCAGGAGTTTACCAGTTAGCATCATTTTTAAAATTATGCAACCTTACCTGATTGTAGTGGGTTTCACAATACGCTAAGCCTTTTCTCTCGTAATGACGATGACCCAGGAATGGTTTTTCACATTTTGCACAAACAAAATGCTACAAAGAAAATGGCATATTTTTTTTAATTATTACTTGGAAGTAATGGCATTTTTTTCTGGAGAGCAAACCAACCAAGCCCAGCACTGAACATGACTGAAGTCTACTGAGCTAGCTGTGCCATCTTAAAAAGGAGAGTTAAAACTTTTTTTTTTCTACATTTAGGTGACTAAAATAATGTTCCTTTTAATGTCTTTAACATTGCAATTCAAAAGTTACAAAAAAAAAATCAAGCAAAGGGATTCTGATATGTTATCAATGAACAGAATGAAGATATTTTAAATAATTTGCACCAACATTACACACTCTTGTGAAGAAACCATTTGCTGGATGAGATTTTCAAAACAACAAAAGGAACAGACTATCTTCCTAAATCTTTTACATGGCCTTGAAATACAGACTTTTACATGAAGTGCTTTAGAGATATTTACATGGCAGGTGACTATGGAAGACATAAGGGTATTATGATGCTCAGTAATATTATGGTTGCCACTGAATTTTACCGCCTTTCCACAGGTACTGTTATGCACTCTGAAATTTTATTCTGAAAGGACCTCACAGTGCTTCCTTTGATTACTGATTTTAGCTTCACAGTCAAAGCTCTCTGTAAGGTAGGAGGTAACTCCTATTTCACAGTGGAAGACCAGCAGCAAGAAGGTCACAAATGGGATTAGGAGAAGGCATTTACTAATTATTGCTGGTTAGTAATCCCTTCATTGAAATTGATCAGCAAAATCCCAGATAAATATGTTAATATTTATATTTGGAAAAGACAATGTATCATCTGCTGTTTACCTCCACATGCCATTGTTTGCCCATAGCATTCACCACACGACCTTCAATGGGTCTTCTACATGCCCCACAGATGGGGACACCCATTTTGTCATGGCAGGGTAAGCAGTATAATTCTCCCTTCAGCTCACGAGCATCAGCAGTAAGTTCCTTCCTGTTCAAAAGTTAATGAATTGAGAGCATGAATAAAGGCACTGAACAATGTCAACTCTTGAGAGTTTCTAAAAATAAAAAAAAAAATTTAGCATTTGTTTTAGAAATCGGTACTACAGTAATGCAGCAGCATCAAACACAACATAGTTCAACATAGTTCAAGACTGATCACAGTAAACTGAGAAGAGGCTGCTAAGTGAGATGCACTAAGTCTCTCTGAAAACAGCTGCTGTGCTATTGTCATTCTGCACTCTGGTTATGTAGCACAAATGTGTGTGTGCAAGCTGTAGACCTATTTGGTTTATATTCTGGCACTCTTATCACCAGTTTATTTTAGATTTGAATAACTGAAAGTAAAGTGTAGTCCTCTACCTCTATGTACATTTTGTATCCAGCTTCAGGGAAAGAAAACTACAGATCCACAAGAGCTAGCGAAGGTTATTAATTGCCCATTGCAGAATCTCATACACCCTACTTTTTAGTAATTTTCATGGTTAGAATAGTGAGAACAGCTAAACTTTAAACATGACTGTACTCACTAATGCTCTCAACTGGTTGCCACTGATGTAACACTACATGTTGTTACTCAAATCAGCCTTTGCTATGGCACTGAAATGATAGCTTCCTTTGCACCAGAAATAAACAACTAATAATCCATGCTATACCCTACAATGCCCCCTTATCAGTGCAGGATGTAGAAACGTGCAGCTTCACGTACTGCAGTTGCATGTGAAAGGAGAGAACAAAGTTTGTATGCCACTCAACTAAAAAGAAATAACACAGCCAATATAATAGAGAGGACCACTTTTCTTCCTCTGGTAGCAGAATAACAAGCTATCGTTTCACTGCTACAGAAACTGTTATTTGTGTCCATACTTTGTATTTTGTAAGGTATTTTCTTTACTCCCCAACAGGCCACCCCTCTTGCAAGTTGTATAGGACAGATTTTCACTTTAAGATATAAATCAATGAAGCAAATAAACCCAGCATCTTCCAGCTTTCTTTTGCAGAATTCAAGTTACCCGCAGTTTGCACAGTTGAAATGATCAGGGTGATAAGGATCATTTTTGAATATGAGAGGCTGTTCATCAATAATGGCATGACACTTCTGGCAAATGTACTTTCCCAGGCCTCTGGCTTTTTCCCTGTTATGGCAAGGACGGCAGAGGTGTCTGAAACAGCATTAAAAAAAGAAATAAGTACTGGTACCAGGCATGACAGTGCAAAATATACAAAAAAAAAACCTATCAGAAATTGATTTCAATCAGTCTTTTTTTGGAGAGAAAATAGCCTTTAAAACAGTTTCCTTGTTAGGCAAACCAAGTTCAGAAAAAGGAGGGCTATCATTTTATTATCTGTCATAACAGGGATATAATTTCTTCAGCTCATTTGAGTTTAAGCTGTGTTGAAACACGGAAAACAAAGTTTGTGATAGATTCTCATTGATGAATATTTTAGTGTCAAAATCTTAAAAATTTAGATTGGAAGCTGTGTGACCACATAGGTCCTAATTCTGTAAGTAATTATGTATATCCTGTTATATATATAAAGCTGATGGCCATAGAATCTACTTGTAAAACATTCTTGTGATCACAGCTGGCAAAAATATCCTACTCTGTGAAGTGTCCCACTGAACTAAAAGCAATTATTAACAAGTAAGGTGCTAAACTATACCAAAATTGAAAACCCAAATTGCAAAAAGAAGTAAAAAATGATATTAAAAAAATAAAGACAACACTTCTGTATCTGAATATTTTTTCTCTTATTATGTATCACAATGGCCCCCAAATGTCACCAGCTAGAGAACATGTTTCCTGAGAAGTCTGGTGTTGAAGTAAACTGCTGATATTTTAAGTTGATATTTTAAGATACCCATTCTTAGTTTTGTGATGCACTCTTAGACCTGTTCCCCACAAAAAACGCATCTGGTGTTCCACCTCAGCTGGAAACCTTCAGGAACCAAAACCTCTCAGTCCCCTCTCTCAGTTCATTTTATTCATGATCAGTAACAGAAGGAAGGGTGAAGATCTACCTGCCGGCATTCTTGACAAATCCAATATCGGCCAATACTTGTTGGCAGATATCACAGCAGAAGCACTCTGGATGCCAGCTGTTGTTCATAGCTTTAATAACACGACCAATAATGAACTCACCTGTAAGAAACACAACACCAGGATGTAAAATACCATGCTAGACAAAGTTAAAATAAACCCACAACCAAATCACTACAATGACACCATCATCCTCTTCCTCCCCCCCAAATCTGGCAGGATATATTGCTTTCAGTATCACAGTTCTGTTTCTAAACTCTGGAATTTGTGTTTGTTTGGGTTTTTTTGCTATGGGTCAGAAGAAAACATCGTTGCTGACGGAGGACCTTTTGTTCTTTATATGCAAGCCCTTCCACATGCACACTCCACCTTCTCTCTGCAATCATCCTTTTTCACTCCCTTCCCTGTTTTTACTTATTTGTTCTCAAACTTTTAAGAAAGATATGGAATTCTTTATGTAACGTGACTTTCTTGTGTCCTAATCATGTTTCTCCTTTTTGTTTAGAAAACGACAATTTTAACTTGTCATGTACACAGCAATGGTTTCTACTCGACTAGGACCAAGCCTTGAAAGGGCTCCATAGCCAAAACACAACAGAACTGAGCTTGGGTGGCTGTGGACCTCTTGCAAGAAACAACCCCACAGAGTAAAATCACAATGGTGAAGTGAAGCTGCAGAACTGTCAATCCAACACATACTGCTTCTGACCTACCACCAGGAGTCCTGTCCTGAGAGGCATAAAAAAACCAGCATGCGAACTGCTGTTTTGCATGCACTACTGCTTTGCATGCACATGTGGCTGGAGCCATGTCCACCACATGCATGATGTAGTTGTTCTCTATGTGGATTTTGTAGCCAAGGCCCTTGAGCTGTGCAAAGGCTCTGTCTAAAATGCGTTGGGAGCTCAGCTTCCTGATGCCGTGAGAAGCTGAGCCCTGTCTCTGGAGAGCATACAACTCAACAGTTGCCAAAGGGGAGCAATCAGGCACAACAGATGCAGAGGATAACATCTAGCATGCGACTGTATGGTGCTCCCATGAAGTCACAGCTTTTCAAGAACAGAACTCAATGTACTCTAGAAACACTGGGAATGCTGGAGGTCTCACCACTGACAACAGCCCCATTAATTTTGGCCATGCTTACTAAATTCAAGCTGTAGCAAAGCCCAGCTCCATGCAGGACCCCGATGAGGTTTTAAAGGAGCTGGTACTACAAGGAGCCAGGGCAGGAGCAGTGGGAGCTGGGGAGGAGAAACCCTGGAGACAGGCAGTGTAGCTCCTCCATGCTACCCCTGACTGGGGCCAAAGCTGCTTAAGCCGCTTTCAGCTCCTGGGTGCTGAAGAGAAGGCGGCCCCTCTACCCAGCCTGCTGGGGGGAGTATGGGTGCTAACAAACACCAGCAGAAGTCATCAGCGTGTGGATGACGCTGGTGCACAGGAAGAGTGGTGCGTTGCATCTCGAGGGGTTAGTTATGAGGTTTCAACTCAGCGCTGTTAGAGGCAAGGAGCAGGGAAGCAGAAGAAGAGGCCTCGGCACAGGGGAGCAGGAAGGTGAGGAAGGGGGCTGTGGAGTGACCAGAGGAGCACAAGGAGCCCTCAGATGTGGGAAGTGACAGGCTGGTGGAAGGGACAAGGTGACAAGACTTCCTGGCTTGTCATGTACTTCAGACTTGCCCAGAAATCTCCACTGACCCCTTTCTTCCTCTTCCCCTGCCTGTTCACATCTGCAGCTTTAGATTCAAAGGTCCGTAACACCTGCTTCCCTCTCCCTTGGTGTTCAACCCCTCACTCCGCACAAGGGAAGGGCCTCACTGAGATAAGTGAAAGCCATAGCACCTTACCAGGGTGCCACAGAAACACAAGAGCTTCCAGACCAGTTTAAGCAATAGTGAAGTAGTGCCCTGCCCTGCCCGAGCACAATGTGTCACACACGGGGAAAAAATTTGCAAATTATTACAGCGCAGCAGACACGCAAGCATTTACATCAATAGTGGCAAATAAAACACGTCCCTCAGTGTTACGTAGGGTTGGCACCAGATGCTGAAGCCTTAAAGGTATTTGTTTCAAAAATACAAAGGGAGACCAGCTGGCCTATCAGCTGATTATAACACTAGGTGATAAAGACTGTCTCCGCTTCTTTGGAGTGAGACATCATGGGTGAGTTACAATAGTCAAAGCAGATGACAAAGACTTGTTGCAGGGTTTCAGCTGCATGAGCACATGCATGTAGATGTATATAACCAGGAGTCATGAATGGTCTGTTCATCAGATCACAGGATCAACAGCTAAACTACTCACTCAAATAATGCAAACTTTTTTTTAAAAAACATCAGTATGTTATCAGCCTTCTCAGCACAAATCCAAAACACAGCCTCATACTAGCTATTATGAAGAAAGTTAACTCTGTCCCAGCTGAAACCAGGACAATCTCATTGTTTGATGACCTTTAGGAAAAACAGCTCCCCAAATTCTCTGAAGTCTAGTTCACTCTGGAAGTTCAGATGCTCAGCCGCACAGGGCCACCTCCCAGAGAAGACACACAAGGGTTGCATATCTTCCCCCAGTGATGTTCCCATTTGGGATCAGTGTGAAATGTTTCACCTCAACGTAAAACTTACCACATTGATGGCAGCAAGGGGCAAAAAGCATTTGAAAATCATGTTCACAGTACTTCCTCCCTTCAAACTGCAAATGGAAAAAAAGCTGAGCGTTAGAAGGATGAGGAACATCAACATAAATGCTATAACATACCAGTTTGTTTCCAGATGCAATCAGGTAGTAAAACATGAGGAGCTGCACAAAAAAACGGACTGTGTGCTAGGTATGAAATCAACTCACCCTAATTCAGCTACTAGTTAGAATGTAGCGTTAATAGCACACCATTCCTCTAATACTGCTGAGAGTGTAAGGCATTTTCTGTCATCCATTTACACCACAACAGACATCTGCATTTTGACAGACTATTGAAACTGATGCAACTGAGCAAATTCTGGGCAGGAAATTAGCTAACGAAAACTTTTCCCGGGGGGAAGCATTTCCCCTGAACCCATTTGATCTCTTCCCCACTCTACATTTCCTGCAAGAATGACCTAGCATACCGGAGGAAGTAAGTACGGGGGGAGGAAGAACACACAGGGACATAAATCTTTGCAATTTTTGGAGCAGTACAGCCAAAACATAAAGAGAAATAAAGGTTTTTCCTTCTTGATGCTTATCTCATAGAATCACAGAATCATTTAGGTTGGAAAAGACCCTGAAGATCATTGAGTCCAAATTTTAAGTAACAAAGTTCACTACATCAACCAGATGAAATTGGGAAGAAATCTTAAGGGATTTGGATCTGAATTTTCTCACAGCTTAGAGAAGTTCATCTGCAGTTCAAGCTCACAAAAAAAAAAAGGAAAAAAAAAAAAAGTTGCAGCACTGCATTAACAACTTAGCTGGAGAATATGTAAAAACATGTAGGCGAGTATGTCCTGAAATGAAAGGAAATGTTTAGATACCTTCAGGCATATCATTACTAGACACACATGCCAACTAGCATGTCAAAACCAGACAGACAATATTAGGTATGCTATGAAATGTTTGGATTTGAACGTCTCAGTTTAAAACACTGGAAAAAGGGGGATAGCAGGAAACCCCACTCCTTTCTTTTTACTGTGTCTAACATAAAACTAAGTGAATAGCATAAAATAACTACCCACAAATTAAGTTTTGGTGTACAGATGGAAAATACAGTAACATGCTTCAAGATTACCTGTTTTATGCTAAGAAATCCCAAGGATCAAATACAATATAAATATAGTAATTACTCCTGCAATATATAGAGCTGCTGGCAGGATGGAAATCTAATGAAACACTCTAGAAGTCACTGCATACTTGAGATCAGAAACTTAATTCCTGTGCCCAACCTGAATTGTGCCTACTAGGAACAGAAAGATGTGCTCAATACAGACTCTTTCAGAAATCTCTGCTAGCGATTTATCAAGTGTTTTTCCAGCATGATACTCTAAAATAGATGACTTTTTTAATTGGAGCTTTAAAAAAAAAGAGAGAGAGAGGGCTACTACTGTCTCAAAGAGTAATGGAAATTATTGGTTCATTGAGAATTGTGCTTACTTCCTGCTAGCTAAAATCCTTTTTAAACAGAAAAAAAATCCAAAAGCTTCCTGTTTTGTGTAAACAGTGGTCCAACAGGAGATGCAGAAGTTTGCTTGGATTTCAGGGCCACCATGTGTTGATCTGGGTGGACCAAACAGGTTTTCTTCCCCTCTGGTTTGCATAAGGCAGGTTGGTTACCATTCAGTCTTGTTTATATTTTCAACCTTCTTGGCTCATTTGTGCTGCCTTTTCTGGATGACCCAGCAGTTCATCCGTCAGAGAAAGCCTTGAGCTTCTGTAACAAATCCCACAGCACATATTTTAAAAAGCAAGGTCATTTGACTGTTGTATGCTGGAGGTCCACATGTTAAATGGCTCTGTATTGAACATTTCACCACAACATAACTTGCAGCTGATCTCCACAGGTTTAGCTAGCATAGTGGAAAGACACGCACAAAAACTGAGTCTTTAAAGACCCCTCCTCTAAGGCGGTTTCTGGTAAAGCCCATTTTAAGAAAACACTCCAGGTGCAGCTGGAATAGAAACAAATCTGACAATGGTATTGCAGTTGCACTTTCCTTTAATCTTCCTACAGGTTGTCACAAACATCTTAGAAAAATCCCAAAAACTGAAAGGAACTCTGTCTTATTTAGGAGACAAAAGTCACATGCCATTCAATTTTATTTTTTTTAATAATAATAATAATGATATAGATTCCCTAATTATAGCTCTTGTGAGTATTCCATAAGGATTTTGCTGTATATCTTCTTTTGTGGGATGCACCTCTCTAAGCCCTTCCATCTCCACCACCTCAGCACAGTGCAGAGTAGGTTGGGCTTCTTATGAAAGCACCCAGCAAGAGGCTTTTAATAAGCAGCTGGACCAGAGGTAGGACTCATCTCTCCTAACCTCCCCTGTCTGAAGGTAAGGTGCTCACACTCCCCAGTGGGAGACATGGGAAACCTCTGGCAAGGAGGAGCCGTTCTTGGACCCAAGAGTGACATGGGTTGTAGGAAACGCCCGCTGACTAATTACAGAGGGGCCAACCTGTCCCTCTGGGCACGCTGCTGCCGAAGCTCTCCATTTAAGCCGGGTGTTGTGCTGCTATTAATACAGGACTGTGTGCTGCTACCTGTTGTAAGGCTCTTCAACAGCAGCTCTAGGGAATACATGGCATCTAGGCTACGGAGTAAAAGCAGGTCACAATTGCTACCACTTCATATCTGATCGCCAAGCACGGTGAGTTTGGAAACTCTGCTGGTATGTGCCTGTGCTAAATTCTGTTTAGGGTCAGTACATAAGAAAACATCAAAAAGATGTGGAAAAGCTTAGAAAAAATACCCTGGAAGTCCTTCTCTTTCCAAAATTACTTCTTTCTAGACCAGCACAGCTGATCGCTATTGCTATGCTGTGCAAACTCCCAGGTGCGGAGGGGCACTGCTCCGCTGTGGCACCCCTTGTGCCTGCAAGCAGCTGGGCTCCTGGTGCCAGACCACAGTCAGCTGTGCTGATGGGGGTCCCTGCAGGCAGGCCGGAGGCATGTCCCGCAGTGCCAGAGACCTGCACTGGCATTCCTCCCACATAGCGAAACCAGTTTAGCCCTCCCCACCCCGTGGAGCAGAGCATGAAAGCTTATCAGAGCAGCGTTTGACAGCAGATGTGATAAGCAGCTTAATGACTAACTGGGGGAACTCTACAAGGCTTGTGGTAGGTAGGGGAAGAATAATTGACTTCACAATTGTTAAGAGCTGGAAATCATTTCCAAGAAACTTTAGCTTAGCTAAACCAGGCACATAATAAACACAAACTCACGCAGGGTGACCAACAATGCCTTTGTTTACCCACAGGGAACCTGCTCAGAAAAACAAGTTACCTGGCCACACCTCCAAACACATCCATCTTCTCAAAGAGTGCAGTAAGCCAGTCAGAGGAAGATATCCTTTCTGCCTGTCTTCTCCAGTCACTTTTTGTTGACAGTGATAGAGATCATCTCAAGTCCTCAGAGCACTGTCAGCCATCTCCTGAGCACTGGCCAACCTAAGCCCACCCTCTACCTGCTTAGGGCTGTCCCTCCCTCTCCCACAAACGCTGTCACCCAGTACGCTCCCATCTCTTGCGCAGAGGTGCCGAATGAAAGAAGACCAAGCTGTCCCTTTGTCCCCCTTCTCCCTGAGCAGCACCACCAGGAAACATGTTGGGGTTTCCACTGCAATCATCTCACTGACTGCTTCAGTGCTAAGTGAGAACCATTTGGCAGAACAGGACACGTGGACAGCCTAAAGGGCAAAGAGACAGAGGAGAATGCCCTGCTGCAGATTTCCCAGCTGAAACAGCCCTAAAGGCACAAGGGCTGAGGACAGTACAGATATCCACTGACCTCTCCACGCTCTAAAAGATGATGCCCAGGACAGGCGACAATAGATGGGGGAGGAAGGCTGGGTAAGATTTATGAGCTATCACCTGAAGGCTGTCAGAGGGCTTAAACAGATGAAAAAGTACCTCTTCAACAGAGGTACTTGCTGGATGCAAGATGGACCTGCTGGTGCAGAGAGAAACTGCAAGATCTTGTGGGGGCCACTAGAAAGGCTAGAGGCAGAAGGGTGTTGTGAAGTTCAAGCCACGCACAAGTCTTTACATATTAATTTAATCCTCATCACAATTATTTTACCTCCTTAACAGCTGTTGCAAAAAGTGTCTATTCTTAAGCGAAACTTTCCACTTTCTATGTAACATTTTTCAAGAACAAAGCATCTACCCAGCCTGAAAAAAACTCTAGCGATGTTAACCAAAACCAGTTTAGTACATGAGGCTATTTTCATTCCCAGGACAATTTATCAACACTCACTTCTGACTTAGTGTCTTTCACAGGGAGCATCACCTTGCAGTAAGATAATGCTCAAAGACCAATATGAATTTGAATGTTAACAAGGTAGCAGTAGGAAACAAAAATGCCTACCCACCAGGATACTTGTGCCTGCCAAGGACATTTAGATATGGCCACCCTTGAACAACAGAGAGGTTGTAATATTCCTGAACTAAGTGCCAAGATAAGTCTTTATTTCAGTTGCGGTCCTCCTCCATCCCCTAGGAGATACAACTGCCTAGAACAGGATTTCTCTAACTTTTATCTCAAACAAATGATCATTCAGCTTTCTCAAAGAGGTCCCTGGTTTGTCCCACTGTTTTTTGAGTCAGAAAAAGGATGAATAAAGTACTCATTATGTAGAAAAAAATGCATTTTATTGCCTTAAGACAATTTTATTAACACAGTTACAAATATTTTAGTTTTAAAACATTTGTATCACTTTATGTTTGCCTTGGGTCTTAACACGTCAGGACTCCTTGCCATGCCTGCAAGCAGGCAGCAGCTCAGTACATACTAACAATTGTAATGTAATGTGTAAGTATCTAGGGGGTGTTTTGTTTTGTGTTGGTTTTTTTCTTACTTGCTACTGCCTTGCAGCTCACCTTTTGATGTCTTATGGAACACTAGTGGCTCATTTACCACAATTTGTGCAACACTATCCCTACAGCACCGAAAAGTCTTTTGATCCTCAAACAAGGTGAGAGAACGCAAACCTCAGGAATCCCCTTTGCCAGTCTCTTTTGCAATCTACACTCCTCCTTCAGCCTCTCCTTGCCAACATGAATCTGTAAAATTAGAAGTGCAACTGTGGAAGATAAACTGTTGTGCTCTTGGCACAAGGATGGCACACTGTATGTGAGAGCACAGCATCGTGCTTTCAACACACTGCTTACCTTCCTTCTCAGATCACAGTATGACATAAATCCTGTAACTGCTACTGTAAGTAAGCTGGACTACAAGCTACTTGAGCAGGACCTTATCTCTCAGACAATAGTTCCCCGTCTCACATCATCTACCCTTCCTTATACCAGTCACTTCATATTTTATGGACTAGTCTAAAGCTTTCACTAAAGCCACTTTGTACTTGAGATAACTGAGCCACATCCTGAATCCCCATGACAGGGGAAGCCAAAAGAAAATGACACCAATATCAAAATACCCATCTGAGCTGAGGGCAATTTACCTGTGGCTGAGAAATATGAGTGAGAGCAGGTTTTCACCCTTGAAAGCATGTAAGAACTGCTAATTTTGAATGCTCTAGTTTGTTAAACTTGACCCTACATAGTCCCTATCTGGTTTGGGCTCTCCGCACACCCAGATCACAGCATGCTGACTTACAGGTCTTCTCTACAAGTAACTTTTCACATGCCATGCTGGCCTCACTCAACTCAGCAATAAACCTATGGACCATAGGATGCTGGGGTTTCCTTCTGTATGACTGTTCTCTAAGAAGTACACTTTCTCTGTATTTCTGCTATGATACATAGATTGTCTTCACAGATTTCAGGAGGAAAAGCCTGCACTGAGAGAGAAATCTCCAGCAGTTCTTTTCCCAGCTCTGATAAAATGAGGCTACACATCTAAATGTTAACATTTTAACATTTATATAAGGTTATACACACTAATGTCCTCTGAAATGGCACAGAAATATTTCTTCTTTTTTCTCTATCTATTGGACATATCCTTTTGGAGCCCCATTCTTGCCACAGAACTTTCTAAGCTATCAACCTGCCTGTAGTTACTTCTTGTATGAGAGGGAAGGCACAAGGCAAAGGCTGGGGGCGAGACAGGGACTTACCTCATAGAAGAGCCCTTCGGGGAACTGCTGAAAGCACTGGGCACAGACAAAGCACTGCTCGTGGTACAGCTCACCATTGCTGTTGACAATTTTCTCAGCAGGGGCAAAGCCACCTCTGCAGCGCTCGCAGATGGCATTTGCAAGTGCATTCGCCATGTTGCTGTTGTAAAAAAAAAAAAAAAAGAAATGGAAAGAAAATTAGAAAATTAGGCCAGATAGGCAACACCACTGGTTGTGGGTCTCTCTCTTTTTTTTTTTTTTCCCCCCAAAGCCAACTGCATCAGCCTAGCAGTAAGCTATTCAACACAAGTTTTTCAATGGACTTAATGACTTGTGTCAGAAATAAAACTGACATTTCCCCCTGCTTCCAAACTCTCTAGAAACAAAAACCCAGCAACACAACCTAATAACTATTAATTAAAAAAAACCAAACAGAAACATGATTACTACAGATCCATTTATAGGCTTTTTATGATGAGAGAACGCAGGCAATTCAAAGAAGTATTATAAAAATGATGAAATACATTAGAATTAGAGAAAACAAGTGCAAATATTAATAATAATTGAGGACTGGCATCACACAGAAAAACATAAATAACAATTCCAAAGTAATTCCTAATTCTAAAATATATATAAAAGCATTGGTTCAAAAGCTCTAAATAAGCAATGTGAAAGAGTGCATGGTGTCTAGTCTGGCAGATATTACTGAAAACCAGAGCAGATAAACAATTATTCATTATATAAGGTTTACATAGCTTGAAGTATTTTTACAAATTTAGTTTGAAGTCATGGGATTTTTGGTTGGTTTGTTAGGGTTCATCTCAGGGAGGTCAGCCTATGGTGTGCTGGTGCCGGTCCAGAGCTAAGAGGGAGGGTGGGAATGCTCTGGCTGCCCCACCGCAACCCACACACAGGCCAACACAAGCTGGTGACCCCATGCCGGGGATACAAAGATTACTCAAATTGCAACCCTGGTTGCTTCTCAAAGGCACGTGATCATGCAATGACAGAGCGGTAGCTGCAAAATATCAGAGGAATTAGCTACTTCACTAGGACCGTGTCTACAGCTGCAACAGACAGTACAGCTGTGTTTCAGTTAATGAAAGCTCCCGTGATAGAAAAATGCTCACTTGATTTTTCCTTCTCAAGCATTTTCTTACTTGTATCTAGACTCTCAAAACTATGCCTTTCAGGATCACCTCTCTGCCCTCCCGCACAGAGCAAATACAGGGCAATGGAATAGTTTCATTACAATCTGACCACAGCTGACGAAACCACTGACTCAAACATCTATCTGGAAGCTTATTAAACAACTGACATTATTTTAAACACACGTGCATGCACGTGCACATTTCAATACAGAAAAGAACTATCATGCTGCGTCTGTAAATGCAGAGCCCTCAGTCCTCTGCAAGATGCCAAGACTTTCCCCCAAAGGGTAAGACCTCTTGGCTCCCACCAGGTTCAGTAGGAACCGAATTCATTCCTTGCACAGCATGCAAGGGAGCCAGCAAACACCTAGCATGTGGCTCAAAAAGGAATGTGCTTTATCTGTTTCTTACGCTGTCTCACAGAAGAGCCCTACACAAGGTCACATCTGACCAGTTATTATTAGCTTAGCTGGCTTTTTTTTTTCCCTCTCTAGAGATCTTTGCAGTAGAGAAAAACAGTAACTGCTATTCAAAGATTCACTGCCCTCTTGGTGAAATGACAAGTGGGCAAATTTCACATAGGAAATCAGATGGAGAATGGTCTATCTCATACTGTCCCAACAGATGAATCTACAAACTGCAGTGATTATACATACAAACTGCAGTTAACTATAAAGCTTGCTGATAGTCTCCAAGGATTGTGTGTGCTTTCTCTGGAGGGCAAAAAAAAAAACAAACCTCAGTCACTTCCATCATCCTTATCAATCTAAATGAAGAACAATCACAACAGAAGCTGAGATCTTTCATCATCACCTCAACAGTTCTTGAGCACTAACGATGTTAATTTATTTAATGTTAAGTGCTGTCAGACACAAAGTGTAATCTGAGCAAAAACATGAAACAAAGTTCAAAAACTAATGAAAGCATAAGGCCTTCCTCCTCAGTATGCAGAAGTACTTCACTTTGATCTGAAACACATCAGATATGTAAATGTAAAAACAGCGATGTACGTAATACGTCTGCATTAGTGAAGCAGTTTATCTGTTTGCCCAAAATAACAGGCAAACAACCTAAAGACAGAGAGACTACTTGACAAATTCCAACCCCATTTCAACTGCTGATAAAAATTTCTGACGGAATTAATTATGAAGTTTAAAAGCACCAGCTCAAATTTTAGTTGATGATTACAACTGGCAATGTATCAAGCAGAACAGTGGCAAAGGTTGCATTCGAGAATAGCTTGCACAGCCTGCCCGGAGCTCAGATAATAAAATAAATATGTACAATATGCCAATGATCATTAAGGTCCCTTCCACCCCAAACCATTCTATGATTCTGTGAATAATGTCACCATAGTTACACCCCAAAGCCGAACATAACAAACTTACAATTTTGCGTAAAAGTCACAAAACTCTTTGTAGAGTTTTACATCACTGTGCCTACGTTGCAATTTTGACACTGGTTTCTCGTCTTCATTTCCTGTAAAGTTGTGGGCATTAGGAGCACCCTTGTGTGCAACCTCTTCATCCTCTGGGATGGGGTACGGATAAGCTCTGCGCTGGAAATCCATCTCTCTCTAATTGCCTTCCCAGGTGTATATATTCTGCACTTATACTGCAAAGAAGCTGCAGGCAAAGTCTGTGAAACAATATGCTGGACTTCACCTTGTTCCCAGCAATGTGATTTACTTTCGCAGCTCCGTGTCATGTAGCCTGAGCTGCTCAGCGCCTTACTAGAGCTTCAAGTTAAAAGTTCAGCGGCCGGGCGGTGAGCCTGTCGTGCTGTGATTTACTGATGCTGGCTGCGAGCTAAGGAGCACATTCCCCTGCCAGGCCCTCATGCAAACTCGGATGCTGGAGAAGGGCTTCACTGCTGGCTGTTGATAGAAGCCGCCCAGGAGAGCTCTGGTGAGCAAATATGTTCACCACCAAACTTGTCCAGAGCTACTCTCTGCTGAGGGGAGGTGGAGGCAGGTTCCAATAATATTTTAACATGGGCACACTAGCATGAAGAGAAGACTTCTGTCATTTGGTAAATATCACTTTAATGCTACAGTATATTAATTCCATTATAAAAATGGCCTTTAATGTTCCACTTGGGTCTTCAAAGTCATATGTGCTAAATTCACCTTTCTTCTCGTCTTCAGAGAAGGGGTAGGTACAGAGGGATAGTTTTGTTTCTGCTGTGCTTCACAGGCCATTAACTGAACTGCCAGGGATGCTATAATGGGCAATATATGAAGGAGGAAAAACAAAGCTTGATTTCCAGTGATGTGCTGCGTTTAGAACAATTATCTAATGTAAGAACACTTACTGAAGTAATTTACTGTGGATATTAGGGAACCGAGAGAGCAGGACCAGGAAGAAAGAATAAAATTAATCGCTCCTTTACCACAGAATGCCCTCCTAATGTTGCAATTATTTCATGGTTATATTCTATTTAAAAACCTGTTGTGCACCACTTACTAGGGAAGGCAGGGTGGAATAGCTGCAGATCTACAGCTCATAACTACACTCCTGCAAGCTCTCCCTGCCTGAAGCACAGCGCTTGCAGCAGACATGGGATACTTGGCTTCCAGCAACTCCTAACTGCAGACGAAGCAGGGTTTTGGGAAGCTGTCCTGAATAACTGTCTCTTGCGTTGAACTGACTCAGCCTTGGTAGCAACAGGTTGAGCTGCAGAACCGTATGCACTTTATGCTCATGAGACAGGGCGCCTTGGCATCTGAGGAATCTGCTGGTCTGCGAGGGGGCATGAGAAAGCAGAGCAGGACAGGAAGGAGACAGAGGGAAGAAGCAGAGAAATCAGGATGACAAAAGATACGACTGAAAGTCCAGTCAAGGCTACTACTTCTTAATATGCCTTCAGCTTCCCAGCACCTACTGCAGAGGGTCTGGTTGATGGCAGTTTTGGGCCGTACCCCTCACCACTAGGTGGGACAGGCAGCTGGGGGAGCGTACAGCAGCCCACACGCCACTCTCCGCACAGGCCTGGGCTCGCACGTAGCCGTCTTCCCACAGCCCGGCCAATGCAGCGCAACGTTTCTACTGCTGCCAAATTTGTGGGGTGGGTTTGGTCAGGCGTCTTTCCTTCACCTCTCCTCAGCGGGAAGTAACCTCTGGGCAGGCCATTCCCCTGGGCCACAGGACATCACGGTCGGTGGGACCCTGGCAGCACGACCCTGCTGCTTATTTACCCGTCCGTAGGTGTGATTACCCGTCTGGCACCAGGGCTACCAGAGGCACAAGCTGCAACAGGCAAAGGAGGCTGCACCCTCACCACTGACACGGCTTGGCTGGAGCTCAAGCCCTAATTTTATCTGTCATAGAGCAAGCTCCAGATCAAGCAATGCTCAGGCTGTAGCCCAAGGCCACGATGAACTTGCCAGAGCATGGCTGCAGGAAACAGCGCTGGAAGAAAAGGTTTCTGCATCCACTGGAGCACCAGTGATGAAAACACATGCTGTTTGCTAACAGAGATGCAGGCGTAGTGATGCTGGCTCTTCTTCTCCATGCTGCTTCCCAGCATCTCCTGCACAGGTCCATGCTGGGCTTTTGTAAGTATGAAAAACTCCAGGGAGACTGACCGCAATGGGCTAACCATGCCGATTCATCCAGGATTAGTGCAGGGGCACCAAGCCACTAAGCTAAGAAACAGCAAGTCAGTCGGTCTCTTCCTCTTATCAGTGACCATGTCCTCAGTTGTTTTCTTGTATTTTATCCCAGATCGCAGGCAATTCTCCTGGGAGGCTGCTGCTGCAAATCAGAGAGCTCTTAAGTGATGCTTTCTCCCAGGGGACTTCTTTAGTTCTTGCAGTAACCTGAAATCCACAGGCTACCAAGGTGGCTGGAAGCCATCTCTGCTGCCTTTTGTCTTCTGTGGTCAACAGGAAAATACCCACCCAGGTGCTTGGTTTTCTGGTTTGCATGGCTGTAGCAAAGCAAGTAGTACAGCAAGTCAGTGCAATAAGATATCCGTCCAAAAAAAGCCTGCTTTGATCTTCCTAGCTGTCTTCAAGAAGCAGTGCTACAAAGTAATATGACTCCATATGTGCAATAAGTAGAAGCTGCCTGATTCTCAAGGCCTATTGCCATTGCTGCTGGTGGAATTACTCCCAATTTGTTTTCCATTAAGCAAGAAAGGAGCTTGCCAGGAGTTTAAAAAGGGCCTTTCTGCTACTGAAGCAGAACATAGTTTCTGCTGTGAAGGTTTCTGGTAATCCACAAATCCAGAGCAGCTGGCCATCTTTCTCTTTTCTGTCATTTTGCTGTAGGCGTGCTGCTAAGATCTGAAATATGCTGTTAAAAATACATGGTATTTTCATTAGGGAATTCTAGGTTACACTGAGGTGAAGCCATCCACGGGGAGAGAGAAGCATGTAGGGGGTTGCTGATCTGCAGCAGCGGCTTCCCAAGGGCATTCACTGGGATCTGGGACAAAACCTACCAGCCTGCTGTTAAGGAAGCAGTAATAAGGAGGGGAAAAAAGGGAAAGGTTCAATATTTAACTGGAAAAGGTACGCAGGAAGGAAGAAGACAGAGAGGCTCCTGCAGGCACACTGAGGTTCTTACCAGAAGCCAAAGCTGACAGCAGGGAAGGTGCTAAGGGATATAGCAGAAGAGAAGGGGGGAAGAGTCCCACTGCAGCTATGGAGAAGGGCTTTGGAAAACAGCAGCAAAAATAGCTGCACTGCTTTATCATTGCTGATGGACAACTGCCGCCCCTTTCACACGCTTCTTTCTCTGGAGAGCTTTCAAATCTGTCTGCCCACGCTGGTGGCTGCCGGAGGCAGACGGGGACTCTTACAGAGAAGGCTCGGTGGCCGGCCAGCCCCGCTGAGCGTTTTGCTCCATGCCACAAATAGACGTGCCGAGCTCCAAACAAGGTGCTTGGTAAAAGCAGCTGCTGCTTGGCAACCTACTCATGCCACTGTGAAATATCACTGTGTCACCAGCACCGTCAGGAGGCCACGTGCCCTGTCAGGTTACGTGGGGAGATGGCAGAGGTGGGGGGGTATGCGTAATCAGAGTGCATCCCTCCCTCCCCTTCCCACATAGGTAAAGGTGATTTCATTTTAATTATATTTAACACAGATGCTATGCAACAGCCCTCACACACAAAATACAGAACAACTAGGACAGAAGTATTGCTGCAAAATATGCATGGACTTGCAGTGCTCTGCGCTGATATCTGCACCAACCTTTTAAAGCACTAATTGACCTTTCACGTCTTTTTTAATTTAAATTAAAAATACTCTTGAGTTCTGGTTGCTGCAGTTATTTACCTCTTAAGCAATATACTACCTTCCATGTTAAGCTGGTCTCCTAAGGCAATTTGAAAGAAGGTATAAATCTCTTCTGTAATAAAGACGCACATTACGGGTAGGATTTTCACATGTGCCCAGCACTGCTCTAGATTCTGTTTCTACTAAAAAGGATGGAAAACCATCTTGAAACCACTACAATAAAAACCAAGTGAGTTCTGAGTGCTCCTAAAAGTTTCATCCTTTAGTCTTCGCCACAAAAAGCTTATGTGGTGGGAGTTTAAACAGGGCAAACAACAAGGCAACTCTACCTGTTCCATATACTTCAATATAAATTTATTCTAGTATAAACATGTGCAAAAAATGCTTTGGTCTCCGCAAACAGAGAAGGTTCACATTCCATCTCTCCATAAGGAAATGAATATTGACTGGAATAAACACGTAAGCAGCACCCTCCCACACAACATTTCACCAGCCATACAACCACAATGAAAAATCAGTCTCTGACAGAATTCATAGAAAGGGACAGCAATATTTAACTATAGCACCTTCCTGTTGCAAGTAATATTTTAAAAAAATTATTGTATTTTCCTCCTGATGGTTACAAACATTACCAAACAAAGCCATGCTTCATGTGAAACAAGAAATTACTTCTTCTATGTACAGGTATCTGATACTCTCTAAAACAGACATGTCTTCCTTCCCCACTACTTTTTGAATCCTGTGCAGACAGGAGGAAAAAAAAAAAAAACTAACAACAAAAAGACGCAGTATCACATATGAGAAGATTGCGAGAGCTCTAATAAATTTGTGTTGCATGAGATAGAGCACACTATGGGTTAGTCTTAAAATCTGAACCCTGTGTAGTTGGCTGCATGCATGCTTCACTATGGTAAATATACTGTATCCAAACTTTTTCCACCCAATACATTTTAAAGAAGCATTTGCACTAATGCATATTATATAACAACATTTATATCCCCATTTCTAATTTAAGAATAATAAAAAAGGTCAGCTACTCAATACGAGGGGTACTAGAGACACTCACTCTGAAAAGAACCATCTTTTCAAGACCGATGAGAAAAGATCAGGCCCACCAAGTTCAAAAGCATCCTTCTGTTTGGACATACATACAGTGAACTTCACAACACCAAGGTCATTCAGTTCTAAAATTTTAAGTGCTTGGGCAGAATAATATTTATACTAGTGGAAATCAAACCACTGGAAAGTCAAGGGATGCACAATAGAGTGTGATCAGGCAATTGCAAGCAAATTACATCTCAATGTACATGTGCTCATCCTCCATTCCTTAAGGAATGGATTTAAAGTTCAAATATGTAAAAATGTATGACGTTGATCTTTGCATTTCTGACATTCCAGGAAAATAGCATCCTGGCTGGCA